TGTGAGTTATTGATCAATTTACTCAATAAAAATGGAAACATTGAAGTAACTGTCTTTTAGTTATGAAAGAAACAAGATCGGCAAAAAAAAATCGAGATCGGCAGGCAAGGGTGCCTAAGGATCGGGGATCGTTGATCGGCCAGAAAACTGCAATCGGTGCACCCCTAATTTAGTTATGTTATATTCAGTTATTAATTGATTGAAGTGTTTAATTTCATGGGATGGGCGGGGCAGTGTCACAGCGGCTCACCTCTGAGCATGTTCACCTCGACTTCTCTTCTTATCGTGATGTCTCTAAGGGTTAGCTCGAAGCGGTAAGTCCCCACGTCTGCCTCCAGGACAGATGCAATATTCAAGGACAGGTTGTTTTTAAGCGGCCCAGTGTTCTGTATCCAATTTGAGTGACTGGTGACGACCTCCCACTGATGCTGGTCGGTAAATGAGGCGACCTTCTGGAAGTCCTTGTTGCCCACATGAGGTTTAAAGGTCCAGCTACCTGTAATTGGCTTCAAACCTGAAAGTGCAGAGAGTTCCACACTGGTGATGTAACAGGGGATGTGAGGACTTGAGCCGTTGGTGGTGTATAATGCTTTGGAACAGTTGAGGTCTGAAGCAGAGGAAGGAAACAGGAAAAAATAAAATTAATAATGACATCAGAAAAAAAGTCATCATGATCATCCATCCATCCATCCATCCATCCAGCTCTCTTCCATAGCTGTTTATCCAGTACTGGGTCATAGGGAACCTGAGGCCTGTAGCCTTAATGAGCAAAATCTTGTCCATTGAGACCAAGAGCCAAAGAGAAGCCCTGTAGATAGGCCCCCAGGAAACAATGAGTACTCTTCTACAGGGAGTCAGGCCAGAGATCTGTTTGCACTCACCCACCACGGTGATGGAGAATTTGATGAAGAATTCATTGGGGGATTTGCCATCAGACCTTTGTCCTTTGGGCGTGACGACACAAATCCAGGTGCCATGCTCCTCCACTGTGATTCCCTTAATTGTCAGATGTTTCTCATTGCTGTTCACACTATTCTGAGGGGACCTCCACTGAAAGTCCAGACCTTGATCAAAGTTCTCTACCTCACAAACCAAAGACAAGTCCTGGGAGGCCACAACCAGTGGGGCAAGGGAAGATGTGACTAGTTAAGGGAGACAGCAGGATGGGAAGGTGAAGAACGAGGCAAAATTAAGGTAAGGGTATAAGAAAAAGGTTAATATACATAACCCATGTGATTTCCCAGGAAAACCTGTTACTCCCAGCTCAGGAATTCCCAGCATACATTTTCAATGTATAATAAATAAGAATTATTACAATGAAGGGCAGTGTTTCTCATGCATAATTAAATGACACATAATTCTTTTGGAGAACCAGAGACTCCGCTGCTAAAATTAGTCTGCCCGGGGTAATTCAGTACACACAGCAGCACCCAAGAAACTGGACACGCCTTCTCGCTGAGAACAGCTTCCCCCGCCACCCCCCTCCCCCCCGGTCATTCTGACTTTCTCGTTGTATCGTCCCCATTTACCTTTGGCCCTGTAAAGTCTGTATAAGGTCTTCATCTGCCCCACTTCACACATATAGTAACCAAAATTGTTACTATTCAAGCTGCTGATGATAAGGGAAGTGTTGCTTGTGGACAAAGACACGCGGCCCTTCATATCTGAACCTGCAGGAGATGAAAATTCAAGTTGAATGCAGACCAGTAAGGCTGAGCATATACACACTTTAATGTTTTTACAATTACGAAGGGCAGAGAGTAAGGGTCATGGAGAAGACAAACATGCTTCTGGAATGCGCCTACAGAGAGAGTAAAACAAAATGGCAAGAAAAAAAAAGTTCCCTGTTGTGAATAGACAGATGATTAATCTGGTCTTTGTTGGAATCTTCCACATTAACACAATAAATCTAAAGCTCTTGTTAGCAAAGTTTACAAAAAAAGAAAAGAACAAATAAAATGTGTCATAACTAGTGTTTGTTTTGGGGGCAAAAGGCAGCACTCACCTGTGTTTCAGGAATCAATATCCTGATAATACTACAAATATTGCATTTCTCCACACATACTGATAAAAATGTGCAGAACACAGACACAAACAAGCAGATACACGGACACCTGCTTGTACACAGAGACACAGGCATAAGCGCCCATAAATTCACATGGTTTGTACCACACATACCTGCACATGTCCAGATCATATTGGCCCCAACTCAGATCAATCCAATTATGATTCAAATTTTGGAATCACCCTAAACCCCCCTTTATCATGCCCCTGTGTCTAGGTACACAAAGGCATATAAACACCTACACTCACTCACAAAGAGAATCATACACACTGACATACAAACGTACGTTTACATGCTCAGAGGCTTTGCCTACTTTCTCACCGTATGTTTGAGTCCCCCTTTGTATTATTATCACGGCTTGGTGTATGCTGTGTTTACTGTTTCCAAACCACCAAGATACATCTTTCGCTTTATCTGCCCTGGGTAAAACGACTTGGTGTCCTTCTTGTCCGATCACCACCACCTCCTCCTGCTGACTCCCTGGCAAAACACATTATAATGCTGCATCAGCAAAGCAAGAATTTTTAAAGAAGCTGCCAGCTAAACATATCTGTCCTTAATTTCCCCATGAGAGCATTGCTTTAGTTTTAACCATATTTTTATTTTAAAACACTGGACATAATAGGGCGCAATGGTTAGTGCTGTTGCTTCACGCCTCTAGGACGAGGGTTTGAGTCTCCACCATGGCTCCATGTGTGTGGATTTTGCTTGTTCTCCCCATGTTGTCCTGGGGTTTCCTGCAGGTACTGCAGTTTCCCCCCACAGTCCAAAAACATGCTGAGGTTAATTGGAGCTGCTAAATTCCCCACAGGTCTGTAAGTGAATAGTGTGAGTGTGCCCTGTGGTGGGTTGGTGCCCCATCCTGGGTTGTTCCCTGCCTTGCGGCCAAGGTCTCTGGGATATGCTCTGGACCCCCCGCGACCCTGAATAGGACAAGTGCTACAGAAAATGGATGAGAGGACGTAAAGGAATATAATGAAGAACAATAAACAGCTTTACAGAAAATGATTTTCACTCAGAGTGCTTTCAGAAAATGGATGGACGGATGGAGCAGAAAATATGCATAGAAACTAATTACATACACAGTGGTCGAATCGTGGTAAACGATCGTGGTAAACGATTCCACTAAAAACTTTACAGTTTAATAATTTTTTTTACTTTCAACATATATTTTGCTTTCAACTCAATATTTTGTACGGAGCCCCTAAGGTGAAAAGGGAGCAGGAAAAAAAACGGCAGAAGAAAAAAAAATGTCATGTTTTGCGTTATAACCCAAAACTTTTGCGATATAACCCAAAACCTTTGCGATATAACCCAAAACTTTTCCGTAGTAATGCAACAATAAAATCAGGTGACTAGCGTACTTTTGGTCATTCAAGTGCAACTTCCAAAGCCGCTGTTTTCATGATGTGGTTGATCCCCGCTTCGCTTATTAATCTAATTTAACGGTTAAAAAAAAACTTGAGTTCAGTGTGGTAAGATTTGATTGTTTAATTCATAATTAGTAATTTGTAAAGCAAGCCTTGGTAAAGTACGTTTCAGTAACATTGCTAATTAATGCTAATCTGTTGAGGTTGATTTAAGCCTAAAGAATTGTTCGTTTTTTGTTGTTGTTTCATGTTTATAATAAATTAATATAATTAATATAAATCAAACGCACATCCTCTTTTCTCACATGAAGTCCATTTATTCTGCATTTTGCATACATCCATCGATAACCATGAAGCTGCCCGAGCGCAAAAGCTGCTCGCGAATAAAGTTAATTACATCACCCAAGTAGTTTTTCCGTTGGAATAATCCCCTTTCACATAAAATCCTCTTAATCTGCCTCAGACTAATGTGAACATCATGCCTATAGATCCGAGAACAAACTGAATGTCCATTTACAGTGGTATGAAAAAGTTTGGGCACCCATGATAATTTTGTGTTCCAATAATTAGGGCTAAAGGTATTCAAATCAATGAAATGACAAGGGTGCCCAAATTTATACACCTGTCTAATTTTGTTTAAATAATTATTGCACACTTTCTGTAAATCCTATAAACTTCATTTCACTTCTCAAATATCACTTTGTCTGCTATATGATATATTTAACTGAAATTGCTGATCCAAACAACCAGTGATTCATAAAGGAAAAGCATGAAAATGATCAGGGGTGCCCAAACTTTTTCATACCACTGTATTGTAGACCAAGATCAAAGTAAAATTCGATTAAACGCTATATGTTTTCCTATCCATTATGTTTACACTGACTACTCATATTTCCAGTTCCAATTAGTCACAACAGTTTTGTCTTATGTTGCAAAAGTTTTGAGTTATAACGCAAAGGTTTTGGGTTATATCGCAAAAGTTTTGGGTTATATCGCAAAGGTTTTGGGTTATAACGCAATGGTTTTGTGTTATAAAGCAAAGGTTTTGGGTTATATCGCAAAAGTTTTGGGTTATATCGCAAAAGTTTTGGGTTATAACGCAACGGTTTTGGGTTATAACACAAAACATGACTTCTTTTTTTTTTCTCTTTTGCCGTTTTTTTCTGCTCCTTTGTCACCTTAGGGGCTCCGTACGTTTCCGCCACCGGAGAAAAAAATAATATAAAATTAAGAAGTCGAAATTTCGACTTAGTATCTCGAAATAACGAGATAACTATAAGTCGAAATTTCGACTTAAATTTTATATTATTTTTTTCTTAGGTGACGGAAACGGGCTTCCATAGCTAGGACCAGCCCTGTAAGTAAAATAACCGTAGTGAAGTTAGCCTCATTTTCTACATTCAGTTTTGCAGTGTTAATATCAGCTTTGGACAGAAGCTAGTTAGGCAGTATTTCATGGCAGAATTTTGATGCCAATACACAGACAATGATGCACACCGATTATTTTTGAAGTTAGAGCCATTTCGCAATTTGTTCAAAATCTTGTCAATAGGTAAGAAAATAGGTATTTTCAGTTGTAATGAGATATTGGTTTAGTATTTTGGGTTTATGGCAACTGTTGCACACTGCATGGTTCACCAGATTTCTTTAAGGGCAAATTTAAATTTTTGGATGTTTGCATGTATCCATATAATGTGCAATACAGCAATACCTGAATGGGTTAATAACTCTAAAACCAAATGACTCAGCCGTGTCCTTTGAGGTGTGCATTGATCAGTGGCCCCTGGGGAACAATGCACACCCTTGGATTTTCAATGATGCATGTCTATAATGGTTATTATGTATTATATTGTATCAATATAATGCACAATGGGGCAATACACATGAATGGGTTAATAACTTTAAAACTAAATAAGATAGGCACATCTAGTAAAGTGAGTTTTGATAAGTGAATGGTGCGGGACAATGCACACCTCTTGGATTTTGAGGTTATCTATGTCTATAATATTAATTATTCTATTGCATCCATATAATATGCAATGGGGCAGTACAATAATAGGTTAATAACTTTAAAAGCAAATGACACATTAACCCTATTCATAGCATGCTTGTATGAAAATACTGATGTATCCCATTGCAGCAGGGAGCTCTATGTCAGTAATTTAATTTGATTTAGAAAATGAGATCACACAACAGATAGCAATAAAGTCATATCACAGAAAATCACTTTGCGTTGCAGGTGATGTCTGTGGTATTGCATCATTGCCTTTGTAGTGTCACGCTGATGTGTCATTCTATGACCCTTTAAACCCTGATATATTTCATCTTGCTGCAAGCCTGTGCTGGAGAAGCAGTTATGGATGGAAGGATGAATGGATGGAAGATTTAATCTCACTACTGTATGAGTGCCGTAGCTTTACCTAGGCATGAGCAAGGCATAATTTCCATATTATGTGAAAATTTGGTTGCCTTTGATAATCTGCGTATTTTAAACGGGATTGCTATATTACTATATAACCATGTAGTTGTACGTTTTATGATACTTCAGTACGTTGAGTAAAAATAAGCGTGATTTGACACTTACAGCCCATAGCGATGGTGGCCACTAAGATCACTAGCTCTCTTGGAAGATACTTCATTTTGTCTTCTAACCTGAAAAACAAGCAAAAAAAAAAAACTTAATGATGCGAAAGATGCAAATACTGCAAAAGACACTTAAAATATTATTTACAAGAAAATAAATCTTTTGCAGTATTTGTATCTTTCTTTTTTCGTGAGACATTTGCATTGTATTCATGTTTTTACAAACTATATCCCTGAAGTTTTTTCTTTTCAATCTACTGCCAGAAGTGGTTAGGAAATGAATGGATGCATTTCCTAAAAGTACAACTAAATATCTAAAGTAATCATAAAAATAAAAGAAAGTGTCATTTAGAAACAAAGTAGCAGACAAGTAACAGGATAGGTGAGGGGGGAAAATGAAAGGAATGAGAGATTTTGTTGCCTGAAAGAGATTTTCATTGCATAATATGCAGAGAGGGTGGGCTCTGTGGTGGGCTCTGATTTAGCGAGAAGCGCTGAGAGCGAGAAGGTGAGCGGGCTTTGAGGTGGGCTCTGATTTGAATCTTATCCCACTCTTTACCTCCCCCGCCCTTTCACGCCCCCCTCTTCCTCCGATGTTCCACGAAAGGCGGATCTCTCACCAAAAAGAAGAGAGAGAAAAAAACACCGTCACTGTGGCTACACTACGCCGTAGGTGGTGCCCGCATGGTGAGACGATATAATTCAGGGCACATTTACACTGTGTCGCTCAGCTTTCCAGTCTTTATTGTCAAATAGGGTGTCAACGCCGCAGTGGACCAACACTGTGATCAAAATTAAATTTTCACCACAGGCATGGTATTTAAAAAACATCACCTATATAGTTAATTTTATCACAGGTAAGTCTTGCCATGTACAGGTAGACTGACTGTCCCTGGTGACAGGAAAATCCATATGACATTGGGGACGGGGTGCGTGGGGGCAGAAGACAACCAGACAAAACATGTGCAATACAAAAATAATTTAAAAATCTGATAATATACATGTGGTGCGAATGGGGATGCAGTAGCTTTGTGGGATGTACAAATGTGCATTTTTGTAATTATTACACCAGATTTCCCCACAGTGTGATAAAAACCCATAACTTTTTACCCTGTGGGGATGGTTTGTCGGTCCCCACAAAGATAACCTCTATTTTAATAAAACTGTGAATGCAATCAAAAAACAAAAAATGCCAGAAGTCTTGTATTTTGTTTGGTTACTTATGCTTAAGATTAGGGCTGTGTAGGGGTTAAGCTTGTCTCTGCTGGGATAAGAGGTATGCCGCTAGAAATGAACGAAGAGTCCCCATAAAGATCTTAATACAAACGTGTGTCTGTGTCTGTGTGCTAAAAAGATGGGCCTACTGTACATGTTTCATCCTGTAAGCTTATTAATGGTTGATTGTAAGTTTTATAAGATATATTATATATACATTCTAAAATTTAAGTGTTTCACACAAGTATCCTGGCTGCCTGATTGATGTGTCTAGTAGATGAATTTAACATTAATTGTTCGCCTTCTTTTCTAATTATCCATGGTCAAATTTAGAATATGGTTCACAAACACACATTAAACACAGAGATGGGTCTCAAGGTTTCGTGGCCATTTCGGAGTCAGTGTTTAAGACCAAGCCGCTGCTCACTGAAAGTGAACATGCCGTTTCGTACTTTTACTGTCGGACTTCAAATGTTCAGAATTCTAGATGTTCTCAAGAGAGTTTTTTCATGTTTTATATTTTATTACATGAATAAAAATACCTTATACATAGAGAAGCTGCCAATGCATTACTTACTAGTGCAGCAATATCTGTATGCATGGTGATGTCGTCTTATATCCCTTCATTTCCAGTGATCGCAGCTGGACGTCTCATTCAATAACTTGCTTTTGTTTCTTCATTGCCGTTTTATATTTTTAAGAATTTGTTACCTTTATGTGCTATTTTTGGAATCTTATATTAGGCATTTAAGATTTAAGGTAATTTAACAAAAAAGATTTTGTCTCTATAGACTCTCAGTCTTTGCTGTTGAACATAAGGAAAGACAAAAATAACAAAATAGTAAAAAAAAAAAAAATAAGAAAGGTGCCCCTGAAATTAATATATTCCTATTCCCCTCTTTTCCTGTGTTCTGTTTCTGAAGTTGTAAGGAAGTTTATTTTAAACCTTAATTTGTCATTGATATTGATATCCACCCCAGAATTAAAAGATGGATGGATGACATTGAAATCCCTGTCAAGTAGTGATACAGAGAGAATTTGAGCCTTCTGTTCTTCCTCTGTAATCTACAGTATATCATTCATTTATGTCTTTGCTTACTTGTTTCCTCCCTCTAAAAATGCAGTATTATATAATACACTATCTTTTTTTAATTATTGTAAGGTGAACTGTAAATGATGCAGGAGAAGAAAGAGCCAGGGAGCGACGCAAAGGGGCTAAAAGCTGGGGAGAGGAAGGTGAGAACGACAGCAGATGGAGAGATGAAGAGATACAGCAGATGAGCGATAGCACCTGAGCAGCTAACCCAGAAAAGCTGGCTGATTGCACTTGTGGTTAGAGAGGAGGTTAAACAGAAAACAGAGAGTGCAGTAAAAAAAAAAAAAACTAAGGCGACACTCGCGCCGTATATCACAGGCGTGCACCAGCTGAAGTGTGTCGCTTTATAGGCACTTATACATACTCTTTATGCACACTGTATGTACTCTCACTGTAACGGGACTGTCATACCAAAGTTACACTTTCTTGTTTAAGATGCTATACTTTGTAGATACACATTTCTTGTGTTACATGATGAGTGTAGAGTCTGCAATAAATAATCACAACCTAACCAATGAAAATAACATAATACAAATGCTAATTACTACAACCTTGAATTGCATTAATGGTTGGATGAATGGAGGGATTGATGGAAACACCATCAAAATAACATTCCTGTTATAATAAATCCAGAAAGTACTGCTGTAAACTGAAGGCCTCAAATGCATAATTGTTATTATAATTATTGCTATGTATATTATTATTTTCTATTTTTTTTGGTTTTCTTGTAGCACTTGCAATGTAGCATTGTATTTTAAACTTTTTAAATACTTCTTGTGTATCCCTGTGGTTTTGTTTTTGAAACATGAATAACTTAAGATCGCAAAGCCACTATTGATGTTTAACTATCAGAATTCCTGGACTGTGTATGTAACCGTGTAATTGGTTGCTTGCATTGCAGGGTAAATCAGACGGGTAAGTGCAAACAAATGAGTGCAAGATGCATTTTGTTAATTACGTGTTTCTCCTTTGTCCACGTCAGTCCTGCGATCCACAGATCCGGCCCTCAGCCGCCGAAGTCCTACAGGTTTGAAAATATAGTTCAGTTAGTACCTCATTTATATCTAAATGACCATAGAGGCCAGCAACCATACATCCATCCATCCATCCATCCATATTTAAATTGTTTCTCCTGGCAGGCAACATACTATCCTATTTATTATTTCAGCTAAGGCTCCCAAAGGCTGAGGTCAGCAAGTTCAGGCCTAAGCAGAATGAATCCTGCAAACCCCATTTGGATGAGCGATTGCTGAAGCCCGCCCAAAAATGAAAGATGAACGTAATGTAAAATAAGCTGATAAATATATATAAGAAATCCTACACATATTTATACATAAGCGATATCTTTGGAGTGGTTTGACATTATCGTTTATTATTGCACTCGCTTATGTTCCAATGCTAGCAAATAAGCATAAAAAATTCTGAATGTAATATATAAATCATGGACTCAAACACATGTCATTTATGTTTATTCTTCTGTATTTCTTCTCTTGACCATGTTTGCAGGCTTTGTATTTATACCATATCACGCTGTATTTATACCATATCATGCTCGCAGTCCTGGAGAACAGAGGCCTCGTAAGACATCAGACAGGACTGATTACGTGAACAGGCCACTCCAAGTATATTCACACCATGAAGTGTGAGCATGAATATTTTACAATTTTATGAAGGCAATTCAAATCATTTTCTTGATATAACATGAGAGACGTGATTGTCATTCACATAACGGCAAAAAAATAGAAAGCAATACACCACTTGGTTCAATTCGGTTTAAGAATAAAACACAACCAGGTTGACAAAAATGAGAGTATTGTTGGCATACTCACTTCTGTTTTTTAGCTGTGCTTTATAGCTGTCCCTCAGTAACATATGAGCAATGAACTGATATTTCCACCGGATGAAGAACTGCGGCGTTTTTAAACTCTGCTGACCCCTCCCTCGTCTCTGATAGGCCACAAGTAATCAAAAGATGTTCTACGATTGGTTAAGTCGTTATGGACAGCAATTTTCTTAAAAAAAATAGAAGTGACAGAATTTTATTAACGAATGCTATATGTTTTAATACTTAAATTGTTTTAATGGGATGCCAAATTATAGCAAAGTAGCACTAAAGTCACTTCTTTTTGTGGATTCAGGTACAGAGATAATAAAAATCACGCCAATTTTTGCGTGAGTCTCAGAGAAAGGTGAACCAATAAACGAAATATTAAAACTATATAAAAAACAGAAATGAAGTTACAAAAACAGGTTACGGTTAATATAACATCATCCCACATATGAGCCACAGCCCTCACCTATGAATTTATTGTTAGCGTCAAATGAGTGAACTTACGTGACGCAATAAAAAATCAGCTACAACAAAATGCCGATAGCTACATTCTATCACACGCCAATGTCGACTTTGACATTTTACATATTAAATGTGAACACTCATTACATGTAATTCATTATAAAAATATATCATGTATGACATTAGGTTACTCGTGGATAAGGAAAAACATATACATATCAATAGCAGTTTTTCATCATAGTCTTTTCAAACTATAGTCATTTCAAGAACCATTTAAGTCTTATGCACATAGTAGTCGGAAGCAATTATGTATAAAAACTTTGTTCTATTAGTTTGTTTAATTGGCGTTAATTTTCTTAAAAATGTTTTGTTGGTTTTCTTTGTGATAATGCCCCAGCTACCCTCTCCAAAGGAGAAATGCTGTGTGCGCAATGGGGATCCATTCTGGACAACGAGCATCGTGCTTCGTATTCATGAAATACAGCCATTAAAAATCTCTTTTGAGAGGTAAAGAACAAAGAGTATTGTGCCTTAAAGTGAGATGCCTATGTAGTCTGTGAGGTCTAATAAATAGCACACAAACATAGAAAAATCACAGATGAAAGTGTGATATTACAGATAAGATGTCCATATTGGCTTAAGTATCGACTGTAAAAATTAAAAGCAAAACATCTTTAAATATTTCTTGACCAATGAGAATAAACTTTATGTTCATTTTTTGTTTTCTATATGTTCTAAAAATCTATAAGTACACTAAATAAACCTAAATAAATAAAGGCATATGCCGATATCTAACAAATTCCTTAAAATAAATTATGGTAGCGTTGTACTCCTATAGTTAAACTCTGTGCCTTTTTGTCAATTGCAACTAAAATATGATATTTGATCTATATCTATAACATTTTAATTATAAATTCTGAAGATAAATATTCCCTTTTTAATAGTTTCCCACAGTCATGTATGGGTGTTAATCTCGTTCCAACTAATCCTTAATTAAAAAACTTTTCAGGAGCGGAATTAACCCCATCTTACTGAGGCTGGCCTCGTCAAAATCGCTGCTCTCTCTTCATAGACTTCTCGTCTGTGGCCTCAGAGTTCAGCATTTAGCAATTATTTATAATTTAATGATGTTTGCAAAGCCAGGATTTTAGTCGCATAACTTTATGATACAAATACGTACAGCGAGAAAATTCTGATATCATAAATCGGGATTCTCTCTGAGATACATTAAGGGAAAACTTTGTTACTGGATATCAGCAATTATATATATCTATAAAATAGTTTTTAAAAGCTCTTGTCCCACCATTTAACTACTGAGCTTACTGTTACTCCCAGTAATAATGTTCTTTTTTGATTGTGCGTAATTTTCAATCAGGGAATGTTCTTATGTAATTATTGTCAATTGACTTTTGAGTTAATAACTAAATCTAACACGATTACTTCTTGTTTTCCATGTAAAACAAAAAAATGTATAACGTATGTGACTGCAGTTTCGTTTGCGTTATAAACATGTTAGAACATACTGGCATTATGAGAGAAACTGTGTCCAGAAAGTGCAGATGAATTGCAAACAAAATAAGACATGTTTGTTGAATAGTAAGATAGTGATTTATTAAATCATGGGTAATACACCCTATGGACTGAAATACTTGTGTGTGTGGAAACGTATAAAAGGTCATGTGATGTCAATAGTGATTTTGAGTGGACAATGGAGGAGACATTAAATGAGAGAGAGAAAGAAAGAAAAAGGAGGTTTAAAACCAGGTCCCGACCCAAACCTGGCACGTGCTCCACACAGCCTGTTCTTCTCACTTTTACCAAGACAGGCAGCTGTACACCTGTCCCTGAACACACTCTTGATACCGGATTTCCCCCCCCCCCCCGCCCCCCGCATCCAAATCGTGTCACTGTGCCCCCAGGGCAGCCTGCCACACACGCGAGTTGTAGGCCATGCCCACCCCACATCATTCTGACTGGCTTTCCTGGGTGAACCGTTGCTATGACAATATCTGTTGGCAGCTAAGGATTTCGCTGAAATCACCACTTTCTAAATACAGGCTTCTTCGCGTGGATCATTTACCTCCCACTCTCTTTGCTTGCCTCCGTGGCTCATTAATGTTAATGCTGACACATCCAGGCTCTCATTTCCTCATATGAGATGCCAGCTATGTTTACTTTAATTGCCGTTTAACCACACAGATAGCATTTGGCTGTGAAAGGGCTTGTTCCTCTCACCCTGGCAGATAATGCCGGACTCAGATAAGCACATCCCCCCTGAAGGAGACACAGCAGGGGGTCCTGAGGGCGTTGGTGTGGTTTGGAGCAGTGAACCACATGAAGGGCCGAACACACCTGTCACTCCCTTCACATCTGTCTGCCTGAGGTTTCCCCTCTTTCATGCTCTGTTTTTCTGTTTTACTTTCTTCTCAGTCTTAAAAAGAACCCAGCACTTGCTGAGCCAGTGCAGAGTTGGCTTAGCGCTTTGCCACTTGGCTCCTTAGCTTAGCGATCCGCATTCGGCTGATTTCCGTAGATGTTTCCACCTGAGCCATTCGGTACTAAGAACCTCAGTGGAGAGCATCTCCAGTCCACCTTCAGAGACTCAGACCTGTAGAGTAAAAGTCCTTTTTTCCTCCCTCGCTGCATGAGGAAAACACCCAGGCCCTCCTCCCCCCGGCACAAAGCCCTGCGGCCCACTCTTCCAGTCCAGCGGAAAAGCCCCGTGGCTGAGGGAAGCCGTATTACTCAGACACTCACAAGCCCGAAAGAGAGAACTGTGGTGGAGGAGTACGAAACAACTGAGACGTCCCTTGCTTTCATTTCGGCCTTCCCCCTAACTCCCACTCCCTAGCCGTGTCCCCCCCTGCCTCTCCAAAACAGTCCCATGGGCCATTGGTACGACAGCTAGCCAGCTATTCGGGAGACAGAGACACAAGCGGAAAAGAACAGAAAGCAAAACACAGGGACCCCATTCCTTTCAGAGCCTTTGGTTTTACATGATTTCTCTCTTTCTGTAATTCCCCTGCACCATTTTTTGTTTCATAAAGGCATGAAAAATACATATAGTTAAATGTCAGTGGAAAGAGAAACACAGCCAATCTGACATTTAGTTCACTGGCAATACTGTCTAACATCGTAAATAGAGAAAACTTGCTCAATACATCTTTCAACACAAGGGCATTGTGCAATTGTGTACCACTCTCCCTTTAAGCACCTGTTTCCAAAACTCACATGGGTCCTTTGGTGCAAAACATTGCTTGTCCCTGGTATTTTGAAAGATCTGGCTTCCTACCTGCCCCCGCCTGCCATTTGTTTGCGTCTATTATTGAGAAATGAGCAAGTCCACAATGACGACTGTAGTGATGCTGCTTTATATTTTCCCATAAGCAATGATTATGTTGGTGGTTGAGCACTAATTTACATGAATTTTGTCACAAATTGCAATCACTAGATTAGTGCCTAAGATGTTTGCCAGGGCTAAAATGGATTCCGGGCAGAGCAGGTACCACAGAGGAGTGTTTGCAAGCCACCAAAAACATAACAAAGGACTTTAAACTGCCTCTGTCACTGAAACTATCATACAGAACCGACACCCAGTAGCAGAGAAAATAACTGCTAAATACACAGTTGTAGCACAAATAAAATTAATTAAGCCATCAATATTCAAAGCATCAAAACAAGCCACATTCAAGCTGCAGCTTGTTTAAGGTCCTTCATTTTGTTTTTGG